ACTGCTAAATCCTGACTGACTAAATTGTATTTTAGTTTAATATAGTTTGAAACCTAGTAATTTCCATCGAAGTTTACAGCTGTCAGGACGCTGCATGAAAGGGCTGCAGAGAATGTACCCACCTTCAGTAGCTTAGTGAATGCTTTGGCAAGGATTCTAATCAGTGGACTATTGGTGTTAGGGCGTTCTAGTGTCCTGCGTTCGGTGGAGCACTCCACTGCGGCCTTCAGGAGGTAAATGTGGATCCCGTCGGGGCCAGGCCCCTTGTGGTCAAAACCTAGTAACACTTAATAAAGAGTGTTAAGTCTGAAATAAGTGAACTCAGTCAGAAGTGCCATTTGGAATGACGCAACTGCTATATTTATTAATCACGATCCTATGTAGAACAAGACTTTCTCTACCATCGGGATATGTGAAAATACCCGTCTGTATGGTTTCACATGAGTCATCACTTTTCCCTCATTAAATTCTCTATTCCACTAATCGGCCCGGTCATCTGGTCCAGTCCTCAATATCCCCTATGCCCGGTCCTCTGGTCCGATTCTCAAATATTCCCCTAGGTCCGGTCCTCTGGTCCGGTCCTAAATTCCTCTCTCAGATCCAGTCCTCATGTCCGGTCCTGCATATCCGCTTAGGGTACTTGTCCACACCCTTATTGGTATAGCGTAGCATAGTATCCATTACATTGTCGGGGCGTATGGCGGAAGTTCCATCGGGCGATGGTTTGGTATCCGATGGAGCCACGTACTGGTTTTGTTGAGTTGAATAGGTACTCAAAGTAGCCAGTGAGGGTGGGTCTGTGTGTCATCGGCACCCGGTATGCAGGGTTGGCGCGGAGACCGTCGTTGGTACGCAATATCTTTGAACATTTGAGCATTGCTTTGGGCGGCCAGACGTGGCCGGAACGAATGGTTTGGCAGCCGCTGAACCCAGAGTCTGTTTAAGTCATAGTATAACCCCCCGAAGATTTGTGGGTTAGCGGCATAGCGCCAGATGCGGTCGAGGGTCCGTAGTAGCCTTTTCGCTGGTCCGTATAAAGTGAGATACGACCGTAGTAGGTTCTGATGCGCCCGGATTTCGGCTTAGAATAGTCGCGCTCGGGATGTTGCGTAGGTGATACAGTCGATGGCGGTATCGATTATATTCATGAGAGGGGAGGCGTTGGTCCGGAGGCGGCGGCATTGTTGGCATTTGCTGGGGCCGATGGATTTGTTTCCTTGGAAGTATCTGGAGATCGAGTCCAAAGGTGTGGTCACCACAGATACCGTAGTCCGTCAGCTTATAGGTCTGGAGGGAGGCGGGGGTGGTAGATCGACAATATGCATGTTCTGTACCAGTTGAGCCGTCAGCATAGAGGTAGTCCAAGTGCCACGTATTATGCAGGGTAGTCTCGATCGTGTTCATACGTAGTCCGTGATTTGTAGATGCGTAGCCTTACTTCCAGGCTTTGAAGTTGTAGTCCCCCCAAACGACTTCTGGTTGGAAATTGCCAATCTCGGGGGTATTCATGTATCGCCTGACGTCTTCTTTTGAAAGTAATTTGAGTGGGAGGTAGAGCACGGCCATATGAACACCAAAGCACACAAAGAACACCGCGTACGGTGAGGAGTGTACAAGTTGAAACTTCGATGGGTGGTGTTTGGAAGAAAATAATTGCCAATACCATAGTGTGAAGGGTGTAAGATATTATGCCGTGTAGTGTGATGTAGAATATGATAGTGTGTGATCCGTCCGGGCTGCGCACGCGCTGGTTCTTTAGCGTTTGCCGGGATTCGCAGGGTAAGTGAGAAGAGGTTTGCATCATGTTTTGCTTGGTAGGCCTTCTGGAGACGGTCCGTGGTAGATCGGAGGATTTCTGCGTTAGTGGAGTTGACAAGGGG